TAATTAATGGTTTTTTTTACATCAGCACGTCCTAAAAGGTCTACTTCCTTTAGACGTTGAGATATTGTACTTTGACTAATATCAGCAAGATTTTCATCTCGTAGTTTTCGAGAAATATCCATGGCAGTTTTTCTAACATCTGCTATCGACCTTCTTTTAATTATTTTATCGATGAGCTTTGTAGTTTTGCAAGGTCTACCGTTTCGTGGTTTATCAGCTAGAGAGTTCGTCGACTTATATTTAGCAATAATCCTATTTACAGTATTTTTATCAATTAATAAGCAATTAGCAATTTCGTGAGAAACCTTTCCTTGTTGAGAAAGATTAATCATGGCTTTGCGTAACTGAAGGCTTATATGTTTCGGCATTGCGGTAGACGATAGACTGAATCTTAGTTAAAGCAAATATTTACGAAGGAGTTTCATAAGAAACGTAAACAAACCGGGCTCATAAAGTCACAACAAGAATACGGCTCGATACTTTTGAACACGTGTAAATATTATATGACTAAATAATGAGAAACTATGTAATTTCAAAATTATGTCAACTATTTTATATAATTAATTTTTAGAGCAAATCAATATATTGTCATGCATCTTAAAAAGACACTATGGCTCGAAACTTTTGCACGTCACTGTATGATAATTTGTGTTTTAACTCTTTATGTTTCTCTTGAGGCAATTTTGCTTTATTTAATAGAAAATTTTCTATCAATTTTAATTTTTCCGCAACATTTCGTGACATAGTTTCGACACCAGCAGATCCTACAAAAGGAAACTTTATGTCTAAATAACGTTTGGACAAAACTTAATTTATATTTAGGGAAACAAAAGTAATTACTAAAACTACACCCGCGGCTTTTCGCGGCTAATTTTCTTTCTGATATTTTATCCGGAAAGATTACTCTTTCATTTCACCCAAGAAACGTTACAGGGACAGACTCTGAAGTATAACTAAATCCTTTGAGTTTGATATTGAGAACGCAAAAAGATATATTATTGAATGCTATTTTCAAAATCGTATATCTACGTGAATAACAATTCAATTGTAATAAATATAGTCTAAAACGTTTCTTCATACCTTCTCCGAAACGATCCATAACGAAAAATTTTGTGCTGTCACTTCTGAGAACCTTAAAATTCTGATCGAAGATCGTATGTTGTAAAGCGCTGAGAATTGATGCGTGCAATACGAATAACGTTAAAATTCCGACTAACCAAACCGCTTCATATTATCGCAGACGAACAAAAGCATAGCAACCTATTATTCCGCAGATATTCAACTGTCTAGGACAGTCACTCATGTAGAGCAGGAATGATTTTAAGAAAATTGACTTTTGGCCAGCTTTTCAGGCCAAACAGCCCACAGTGCGTCGGAAAAGTACTTTGCGAATACGGTTTGTTCGGAGTTACAACATTAGACCTGGGCTTAAACGGACTAAAAAACATGGTATTTTCACATTTAATCTCGAAATTCGTCACCGAGACTACGTTTCACGCGGTATACGCATTTTTACGCCAACTCTCCAAACGGGGATAGATGGTCCATTTTTTTCAGGGTTAGATGGGCAGCCTACTTGGCGAGAAATAGCAAGCAATGGACATCGGATTGACATTTTCTAGATATATATATATTCGACTGTCACTTTTCCCTGATGGCTAACATTAAATGTCAAACTTGTCAACACCGATCGGTCAATCGGAGTTGTATGTATCACGAATACGTGTTTCTTCTTGATACACAAAAACACTGTTGTTATGAGTAAATAAATGTTTTATGTTTCTATTAACCTGCAAAATGTGTTTCACACGTCGGAATAATACTTTTTGCATATACGGTTTATTTTGAGTTACATTAGACCTGGGCTTAAACGACTAAAAAAATGTCGTATTTAATCTAAAAATTCATTACCGAGATGACGTACGCCTTGACTATCCCTTGACATATGACCATCTAATACCTGGACACCTGGACCATTTATCCTTCATAGAAATATTTTGAATATTTCGTTATTATCGGTGTCCCATGAATTTTTTTTACAAATGAATTTTTTTTCACAAAAACTCTTCGGTACCTTAAACATTATCCTCTACTGAATGTGTTAATATGTTGTTGACTATTTATTGCATTAATACAGATGTGTTATTTGCAATTGAAGAAAACTATGTCCATCTATCCCGGACTTATCCTACTTGTCCGAAACGGGATTTTCATTCTGCCGGTGACAACGTCGACGAATGTTGATCTAATTTGTCCAGACAGACGCACGAAACAAAGCGGGGACAGCGACCGTGAGCGAACTACGTATGTCCGCGAATGAAATCATCGCCGAGCACTTCGTCGCATGTGAGAACAAGGAGAGCATAAATTCTATCCGTAATTGGTAACACGATTCCGAAGACACTTTGAATTTCGCTCGAAGCTCGAAGGTCGCTCGAGATTAAGAATTAGCCGCGCACATTTATCCAGCTATAGTGCAAGCGACAAAGTCGCAAGATAATCGCGGCGACAACAATGTGTTGCACGGTTGCACAGGTGTCGTGCAACTGATGAAGTGTGCATCGCAGTCGCGGTGGGATTGTTGCAGAATGTAGCGCGACTCGTGCGGCGAATTAGCGATGACAAATCCGCGACTTCTCGTCGCTAGTTCTGCGGACGAAAAATCGAGCACGGAATAATCGCGCAGATTCAAATAGACGAAGCAAATCTGGAAACAGAAGATCGAAATTGAGACCTAACTTTAGACAATCATCTAAACTTTATCCTCGGACTTATTGACGATAACGTAGCTTCGCCTCTCCGCATTTGATTCTCCGCGTCTGCAGAACATTGATTTAAACCTCGGTTGACATGTATGTGTATCATCCAGGGTTGGGAAAGTTACTTTGTAAAAGTATCTAATTACAGTTTTTTTTTTCACTGAAGAGGTAACTAGTTACAGTTACAAGTTACTGACCTTTAAAAATAACACGTTACAGTTGTTATAGTTGTTTAGAAAGTAACGAGTCGTTACTTCTCATTTATTTTTATTTTTTTTTTTCAATAATTGTGCTATTATTTTAAATTTCGTAATTGTGTAAATTCCTTCAATTTTATACAAAAGTAGTTTGTTGATTATTATATCCCTCATATTGTATATAATTTTTACAAATTAGATTTATTGATTTAAATAAGCGATTCATATTTATTCTTTAAGACTATTAATAACGATTATAAGAGAATGAATGAATTTGATGAGGATAATAAATACTAAAAATACTAATACTCTTACGTTAGTAATCTTGACATCAAAAATTAGATTTTTTCATTAAAAAATATATTGATATATTATAAATAAAGACTTACACTCACATGTGTTTTCTTAAATTTTGCAGTTGAGGTTCTATTTGCACGAATAATTTTTTGGCCAGCACATATTTTGCAGAGAAATGTCCAGTTGTTCTCATTTCTAAATTTTTGCTGTAATTCGAATATTTTTGCACATGCTGGTCATAGCATTTTACAATCCTTCTCCGAAGATTGAAATGTTTTACCTATTGCTTGAATTTTTTATGTAATTGAAACCACGCAGCGCACTTCACGCTAAACGCAGATTAGGTCAACAAATAAGGACTGGCGACGCGCTACGGAGAAATGTTCAACAGGCGTACAATCGTTTTGAAAGAAATACAGAGTTGCGCCCGGAGAGGCGGCTATTAGCGCTATTGCGTCATTTTATCCTTGTTTTACACCTAATGAACGATAAAGACAGACGACGCAATAGCGCGTTTTCCCAATGCAGCCAGAATAACTGCATATGCTTATTGGATATCAAGCATCGCACGTTGCATTATCGCGCTGCTCTGCCAGAGACTAAAGTTTGAAATATATAAAGTAATTATTAAATTAGTTACTAGTTGTCAAACAAATGTAACTAAGCTAAGTTACAGGAACAACGGAACAAAGCTAAGTATAGTATAGTTATTAAAAAACGAAAGTAACTCTAACTATAACTTCGTTACAAGTAACGAGTTACTTGCCCAAGCCTGGTATCATCTCAAGTGAAGAAGTCGCCATTACGGAGAGAAACTAAAAGTGTCCTTTTCTCGGCCGGTCGTCGCGAAGATCCAACAGGTCTGAGGCGGCGCGGAGTTACTCTGTTGGCCGCCTTCTTATTACAAGAAGGGCTAATCGCGCGGAAGAGCGAATTCTCCGGGAGAGACCGCGCGCGCGCGTTTCGTGTCGTGTCTCTCCTCGCCGCGTGTAATTACATGCACTTAACGCGGCCACGTCGCACGCGTGCTCGGTACAAAAGCGATACGCGGCCTCCTCTCAAACGGCGACACGCGCCTCCGTAATTGACGAGTATTCTCGCGAGAGACGAGGCAGACACGCTATGAACGTGGACTCGTCGATTCGTGCCGATAGCGGCACCGGGTATAGCGACACGATACGCGTATACGCGCCGGTCACCACCACGTCATAGGTGTCGATATCCGTCGAATTACGTTACGTGGGACGGATAACGGAACTAATACCGCGCGCGGTCATTCGGAGAGCGGAGCGTTTGCCGGCTTCGCAAATGCGCGCGGCTTCTGCGGCAAACTCGCGCGTTCATAATTAACGCTTAACACTCGGCCCGAAATCGCTTGTCGGCGCTCGTCAGGTCGCGCGTTTATCGGCGCGCGAGTAATCTCCCACGTCGGCGTAAGGAGATTATTCATCAATATTTCACGCGGGAACGCGGATTCCCGCTCGTGCCCGATCGAGTCCGCCGGTTCGCGTGCTTTCGTTTCGCCCCCTCGTTTACCTTTTGCGCAACGCTCATCGACATCGGGGGTATCGACTTCACGTGCTGACGCTAATTAATCGCCGGTAAACACAATCGGCCGAAAGTCACGGAGTCGTCATCGGAGAGGCAGATGGTACCGATCGACCTGATATTCGCCGACCTTACGGATTATAGCGAGATGACATAATCAGCCGGAGTTTGACATAATTAACGAATAAATCGCTCATAAATCTCGCGCGCGCGCGCGACGTTACGGCGAATGAGACGGGTTTCTATCTCGGCGAGAGATAGTCCCGAAAATAAACGACTCGACTAATCGCCACCGATGCCAGATACTTATTTCCAAATGCTGCCCCGTCTGCTGCGACTATCCTTTTGTCTGCGCCTTTATTCATTCGCAATAACATCTTACGCAACGGACGACGATAGCGCTAATCGGCGACAGAGAGCCGAGTGTCAAAGTTTCATCGCTCCTTCCCTCGTAGTCGAGGACCTCGCACGCTCGAGTGCTTTTGCGTCGAGTCCGTGCGCGCGATTAATCCGATCCACATCGTTTTCGAGGCTCGACGGTATAAAGAGCTCGGTGTTTGCGCGATCGAACGGAGCCAGCTCGAAACGTCACGCGATAGCGAGGCTCGTCGCGCCTTCATTGCCGGCTCGTGCACCGAGACTGCGACTGCTTGTCATTAGGCGACGTCACGGCGATCCGTGCAATCGGTGCAAAGTTTTATTCGTCCGTGGCGTATCTGCCCGTCGAAAGTGCGGCGTGCAGTGCTCTAAACGCCCGATTTTCTGGCAAAAATTAATATCGTTAGTAACAATAAATCGCATACGATATAAACGTGGCAAAAATTAATATCGTTAGTAACGATAAATCGCATACGATATAAACGTGGCAAAAATTAATATCGTTAGTAACGATAAGTCGCATGCGATATAAACGTGGCGAAAATTAATATCGTTAGTAACAATAAATCGCATGCGATATAAAAGAGTTTTGTTATCTAGGAGAATCATTACTGATGTAATAAAAAAAATTATACAGAGGGGGATTTTTTAAGTGGTACGTGTTAATTATTCTGCAACTGTTGAAGATAGCCCGGCTTAGATTATATTTTATAATTAAATATCATATGAGGACAAATATTAATATTATTGCCAATATTTCTATCTTTAGCTCTCATATTTTTCGAAATTTTGAGGTCACCTCGATTTTTTTGAAAACAATAATATATAACGATAAAATAAGATTCACTATCTGCTCGGTAAAACATAAATAAATTTATGTTTTAAATATTATCTTAAATATCACACACACGCATATTTTAATATTTTATTTTAACAAAAAATATTTTTAAGAGAGAAACGAAATTTCGTCACGGACATAGATACGCTAGTTGTTAAACATGCCAGATTGAATTGGCGGAAGAATATTTCAAATCTTAAAGCATTCATGTTAAATTTAGGTATTTAGGAGATTAAGTACATCGGAAGGAAGGACATAGCTACTTTTACGTCGAAGTTTCCTGATAGATGATAGTTACAAAAAAATTTAATAAAAACAAAGAAAATATAAAAAAATTCATCAATTTCTTGTAATCACACACAGAAATTACAATTACATAGCTAATCTTAAAACTGTAACTTAATTTTCGCCTGATTTTTTACTATAAAAACGAAATCAGCAAAAAGTAGCAATTTCTTTCTTCACGTGCTTCAAAAACATGATATTCTGGACAATTTGACCAGAAAATTTTCTTTTCGCTAAAGACGACTAAAGCTTGTAAATTGTACAATAAAGTTGCAGTCGATTCTTTATAAAAGCGTTATATGACGTTAAAAACTATATCGAATATATATCCTACGCTAAGTTCACTCGTCAATTTTGCGAACAATATTTAAAATATACATGTCGAATAATAATATATTGTGTTAAAACATTTTAGTAAATTACTCTGTCTAATTTACAGGCTGATGTAAATAAAGTGCAGAAGGCGGCATGTCAAGTATACTGAAAATTCTTGCATATTCCTCTTAGAATTACAATAATTCTTACCGGTATCTAGAAACGATTTAGAAAAAATGACTTTCTGCCAGGTTTTCACGATTTTAGACCACTGTGCGGCGTTTGTTACTGTTTCTCGCGCTCGCGCATAAAGCGTGCGCATAAAAAATAGAAAAACATTTCGCACGCGCTTGTGCTTTACTTTTATCGTTACTCCACTTCACATGTCGCTTCTGCCTCGAGCTCGTTTTCACGTGCTCTCACATTAGTCTTTGCCCGGTGGCTTCGCACATAAAGTGAACCTTTTCTTTCGCTTTCACGTTTTACATTTTACATTTTGTATACAAAGCACTCTGTGCTCGCATGTACATACACGAGCCCGCCGCATAAAGCGACACGAGCTTCCTCGCGTTGTCATCTCGCGGCACGAAACGCAAACGCCCGCGAATTTACACGTTGCAGATAAGACAGCGCGTTTCATGCACGGCACACCTACGGAGAGCGGCGCGTTTTCATTTCGTTTGTGCTCGCAGCGACGATACGATCTACGTACATCTCTCTATCCGTCGAGAGAATTGTTTTGCAGAACTAGCTTCTAATGTCCAGCGTGATGTACTGTTCCACGCGCGAGTACGTGTTGCCCGCGGCGGCCGCGCGGAGATAGCAATTTTTATCGATCCAGAATTATTTCTCCCGATACCATTGGCGTTCTTTCGAGCGTTCTCCTATTGATAAGAGATCGCTGCTGCTACGTTGTAACGGATATCGGTTATCGCGCTTCACTTATGTATATTGTCAATTGGACACAGCGGATCTGTACAGCGCGCAGTGAAAGCGCGCTGTAAGCGATCGCTGTGCGCGCGCGCGCGTGTGTGTATGTGTGTATGTGTGTGTTTATCGAAAAGCCACGGGGATACGCCGGCGGTATATAACCATCCTTGCAGTAATAAAGCGGAGACGCCGAGGTCGGTTAATTTCCAGCTTCAGTTTCTCTCGCAGTCGATTTCGCGCTTTCGTTTATTTCCAGCGCGCGTCTCTCGTGATTATGCGAGCAGAAACGGGCAGAAATGGTTCGGGTAGAAGAAGACGCGTCTCTCCGACGTGTGTGTGTGTGGCTTCTCGTTGAGATAAAAGTACCGATATGTGCACGGGACACACGTGTGTGTTTAACTTTGGACATCTTTATATTTATTCGGTCTTCAAATACGAACGTTATAAATAGAGCGATTAAGCTATATTGAGAGCTGAAAGCTGAAGATTAAAGGCCAAGGAGACAATAATGAGACATCGATGCTCTTGCGCGCGAAAATGCACGCGCAGGTAAAACCGCATCTGTATCTCGCCATTCGTGTCATCTCGCGGCACTTTCGCGGCAGCTGATTGGAGGAGACGCGCGAGCGTGCAGCGCAAAATTGATGGGATCGACGGCGACGGCGACGGGGTATCCTTGACGATACCTTCAAGGCCGACCGGAAATTTGGAAGAGGTGGTCCGCACTCGCGAATTAGCACTGACCTAGGGAAGGCCTCTCGAGGTCGTCGATGGCACACATTCCGAGTGCGTCTATATTAAGTTAACTGCTTCATAGCTGCCGATTGGCCCGCCGGTCGGCCACTGCCAATATATAGGTGGACGCGCAAGGCAATGCCAATTGCACGCATCCGCAAATTTGCCACCAACTGGCACGCTTATGTTATAGAGTTACTACTGCTCTACCTCTAAGTGGCTCTTGTCCCTCTCTAAGACAGTGGATAAAGGTGTCTCCACACCGGCGAGACGTTTCCGTCGGTTCGAGGCGAGATCTCGAGACTCGCGCCCGTTTCGATCGGGCTCCGCTGGCTTCCGGAGGATCAGCGAGGAAGCGAGCGGTCAGCGTGATCGCGAGCGAAGTCGATCACGCGGCCTCCGCCGCTTGTGATTTGCACTTGTGTCTATCTGGAAAATGGAATCTGGTCGAACCGGCGGTGGCGCGGCGAAAGATAGATATAAGCAAGGAGACCCAACGAGACAACGATGTGACTATCTACGAGCGTGAGTCGACTATCAGTCGTAGCACGCTCACGTCGCACGTCGTTGAGCAACGATCTTGAGTGAGAAGTTGAAAAGAAACGTGGAAAGGGAGAAGGAGAGGGGAGAGAGAAACGAGCGGGAAAAATCGGACGCCATGCACCTGCATGGCTCGTTATCGCGCGCGCCAAGTTGTTGGCACGAAGCGATTGCGAGCGGTAACCCTCGGTGATCCGTGAACTAATGAGGATACCGCGATTATAAATCCCAACTGCACGGGGAACCCGCAGGAGCACGAGGAGCGGCGGATTGAGTCGCAACGGCTGCAACGGCGGCCATTGATGATGGCCGCCGATATTCGTGCGATACTACAGCCGCTTATAATTTCAATCAGCTAAGCAGCCGGGCCATAATTTCACCTCGCCGAGGAGCGAGGCAATGTCGCAAATTTCGGCAGCCTTCGGTGTGAATAATCGAGGCAGAATGTCGAGCTGACGTAGCTGACGAGCTTTCATAAGCCCGTCGATGAAATGCTGCGTACGTGGTTTGAGGAAATTTGAGGCACGTGAGTGACGTAACGCAGCGACGGTTCAACGACGTGTGTGACGCGCAATCTGACCCTAATCACTGACATTTCATAATGTCCCGCTCGCAAAAAGCGACTGGATGGACACAATTGAGCGATACTCTAAACATACCCATTGAGATAACCGGTCTCGACTCGTAAACGCGTCCCTAAAGACGCATTTCCACTCGTGAGATCAGGCCGACGACGGCAGCACGGAGGAAGCATGATTGACAGTTAGGATGTTTAGGCAGTCAATCACATCGATTGCGGCGCTGAGGTCAGATTGATTATGCTTTTCGCGCGGCCGCGCGGCGTTTATAAGAGAAGCGACAACACGAGCGAGAATTTCAGACTGAGATTTGGGATTTTTCGAGACTCGAAGAAGACCCTGCGCGACCCTGCCTCGATGATGCGCGGAATAAACAAACTTGTCAGTTTTAAATTTTCTCTTGCTCTTGGGGAGAGAATAGAGACCAGACGAAAAAGTCGACCTTCCGATTGAAGGAAACTTCAGAGAATTTCTGCCAAGAACCAGCATTTCAAGCATCAGAAAGAACCCCCGCAAGAAGGGTCGATTTTTTGCCCGTTTTTCGGTCCTCGATTTTGGAATCGAATTTTGTGCCAAAAGATAGTTCATGATGAGACATTAATTACAGACAGAAAAGTTTTACGTTGAGCGTACGATTGGTTTCAAAGATGTAGAGGGTCAGAGTGGTCACTACCTACTAAGAAAGTATGACACTAATAACGCTTTATCGCGCGAATTTCTGCAAAATTCGGTATCCATGGGTTCTTTGAGTCGCCGATCATGAATCTGATGTCAGATTTTCAAAATTCAAGATGGCAGGTGCAACATGGCGGACACACATAGTGAAACAATCATTTACTTTTATCGGAACTGTTATGTCGTGGTTTTTTTGGCTAGCTGATTGCGAATTTTCTACTAGGTTTTCGAAAGTCATTTTTTCAACGACAATTTTTGAATGGAAAGAATATTTTTTTTATTGTTTTTTCATAAAAAAATATCAAATTCAAATTGATACGTTACATGACGCATGAAGGATAACGTGATAGTTTTATTTGTTATATTTAGAAGCTTATCTCGCCTTTACTGGCTGAATAACTTTTTCATCTTGCCTACACTGAAAATAAATGTAAATCTGATAGAAAATTCGCAATCAGCTAGCCGAAAAAACCACAACAGTTCTAATGAAAGTAAATAATTGTTTCACTATTTGTGTTCGCTATATTACATCCGCCATCTTGAATTTTTTTAATCTGACATCGAATTCGTAATAAGCAGCTCAAAGAACCCAAAAGATACTGAATTTCGCAAAAATTCGTGCGATAAAACGTTATTAGTGTCAAACTTCCTTAGTAGATAGTGACCACTTTGACCTTCTATATCTCTGAAAGTAATCACGTTACCCTTTATCCGTCATGTAACGTATCAACTTGAATTTTATATTTTTTTATGAAAAAACAACAGAAAAAATACTCTTTCCACTCAAAAATTGTCGTTGAAAAAATTACTTTCGAAATAATCGTATGCTCAATGTAAAACTTTTTTGTGATTAATGTCTCATCATGAGCTATCATTTCGCATAAAATTTAATTTCTTAAAAATCTAGGACTGAAAAACGGGCACTTTTTGCGGAGGTTCTTTTATTTTCTTCGGCCAAAACGCGTCCACAGTCACACCAAATCGACTTTTTCCCCGCGTAGGGACAGAAAGATTTCTACCAGGAGGAGACTTCCACTCGCGGTCTCAATTGTTCCTGGTTATCTCGAGCGAGTTTAAACACAATCGAGCGCTCAGTCTGTCGACGCTTCCAGTCGCGATAACAAAGATCTCGCTTCTCGCCGCCAAACTTTCGTCCGGCTCCTCTTCGGTCGATGCCGTAACACCTCGCTCGCAACACATTCGACCGAAAAAAACTGAGCAAGCGGCAGTACTTGTCTTAACGATCTTCGACGTGCAATCTGGCCCTAATCGCCGATCCGTAATGGCGTCTCAGCGGCAATAGTCGCGCCGGGCGTTCAGCCGTCGAGTCGCACCCTCTTTCCCCCTTTCAACCGTGTCGCGCACCTAGCGACCTTTTTCTAGGTCGGAAAATATACGACGGGTGTGACTGACTCATTGCGCTGTGATGGAGGAGACGAGCCCCTTCACAGATTGATTGCATTGCTGTCGTCACGTGCGCGCGCGCGCGCGCGCGAAAGAGAGTCGCGGGACGTTTCAAGGCGACCTTCGCGAGTGCATCGCGAGTGCATCGTGAGTGCACACATCTCGTAACCCGCGTCTCATTGCCCAAACATAAGTACGCCGATAATAATGCGTGTGCGTCAGATGTCTCGGCGGTCTGAAAATTGCCGATAACCGTTAGACGCGTAGCATGTCGACAACGAACGCGCGCGTCAGCTCGCCTTCAACGAACCTGCGATGATTCGTCGCGCGATGATGCATCAGCCGCTCATGAGTATTCATTATTTGCTTGGTCGCGCGCTGCGCAAGGATATCGAGTGCAGCAGGAAGCACGTCGCGTCGGTGCGGCAGATTTAGCGTCATTAATGTATAATGTTTTGCATGCCGCGTCTCTTTACAGGTATATTAATTAATCTCGACATCAACTTCTTGCACGTCTGATTCGGTCGTGTACGTCTCGTTCTCCTCGCTCGCGAGTGTCCGCCCGTGTCCGCGCATAGATATGCGTGCAGATAGCAGCGTGTGCATGTTCCTCGAGTATACGGGAAGTGAAGTTTCTGTCGGCATCGAGCGCGCGCGCGCCCGACGACGGCGGTCGTCTCGTTTCTGTTTGCATTGCGCGCCCATTAACATACGCGTATTGGCATGCTTCTTTGTGTCGAAGCGTGACGCCCACTTCCTGCCGGTTGCACAACGCGAATCGGAATCTCACGAATTTTGCTACGAGAAGCATTTCTCGATGACGCGACAGTTAGCGTCACGGGCTCTCCTCCGAAGGACGGGATCGTCCTGCAGCCGCCGCCGCGCCGGGTGAAAGATCGGGCGCGAGAGTGCCTTTGCTGCGGCTAATGGTGGACGATGGATTCTCCGCTGAGGATCCTGGCGTGGGGATGCTGATTTTTAATCGGTTTAATCGAAGATCGATTAATCGGAGCCTAAAAGATCGATTTCAAATCGACTTTCTGGAAGTGAATCGATTCAGCGATCTGTAAATTCTGAAAGACCGCCAACACGATCTTTTCAGTTTCTACTGGTAATATAGTTTTTTTTTACTTCTTTTGGTTGTAACATTTGAACTCACTCAATGGTTGCACAATGCACATTGCGTTGCGTTTAGACCGATGTCCCATGGGCGAGAATTTTCAGCGGAACGAAACGCGCGAACCAATCACAGCCACTCCATATAACAGTATACATTGTATACATATATATGCATAGTAAACGTGATTTCTTATTTAATAACGTTTAAAAACCCTTGATTGACGTTTAATCAAACTAATTAAATCCTTAGCACAAAGATTTGAAGATCTTTTTCTATTTTGTTCCGGTCGCACACACACAGAACACAACCAAAAGAATACCATATGTTTAATTTCTTTAATTCATATTAAAATTTAATTTCTTTAATTCATATTAAACTATATGAATTACACGAAGTCTATTTGAGAGTGTAGAAATTTGACAGATAATATACTTTAGTGAGTAATTCACTCGACACGCGTACCGATTCCAATTGATTTTCTGAAATCGATTCTTTATAAACCGATTTTTTAAAGATCGATGTTTTCCTCCGTGATTCGAATCGATTTTTAAATCGATCTGTTTGAAGAAAAATCGGCATATCCTGGCGCGCGCGACGTTGACGACGACGACGACGACGACGACGACGACGACGACGTGCAACGTGTTCCCGGGGATTATCTAAATGTTTCCCCGAGACATTCACCCGGCAGATAATTCAAACCCGATTCATTTCCGCAACGGTTATCGGCATTCTCGTAGTTGACCGGCTTCCTGGTAGCGGGCGTTCCGTCGGCCCGGCGAAAAGGATGCCGAGCTTGTGGCGCGCGCAATTTCCAAGACTTTACGACCTTTGATAAGTCACGTCGATTGTCGAGCGATTCGTCGCGATCCGAGGAATCCGCGACGCCAAAGAAATCGACGCTCGACGCTCGTTAAACGTCACGTTTAAATAATAGCTCCGGCGTGACCCCCATGTTGACCCCCATGCGATGAACGTGACGTGATGTGACGACGTTGAGCGGTAATTCACGTACAATATCTCTTTTATTAGATGCGACTTTCCAAATTATCCTTGCTTATCTGACCAGTCAGTTCGGGTCCCTGAAAGGTCCATGATTTCATGAGGATCATATTCGCGTGTTCGTTAAGTCGATGAGTCGGTGATCATTTTTGCGCCAATCTCTCCGCCTTGGTATCTTCTCCCGATCTCGAGATATTGCTTTAGGAATGTGCGAAGTAAAAAGTAGTCGCCGATGAAGAAACGGGCAAGTACACAGAGAAGGAGATGTCACACATCTCGTCGGATTTCTTTGGCGCTTTGATGTCTATATCGTAATACAATTTCAATTGTACAATCGTTGAGTTACCTTCTTCGCTAATTCATCAGACATACGTATGTATCGTTCTTCTTCCCCTTTATCGACATTTCTTATTCGACTCAAAAAATTATTCAGAACTCCAGTTTTGACAGCGCGCATTAAAATCAAAGAAATCCGAGATGTGTAATATCTTGTATAATTGCCAAGAAACGGACGTCGCGCGACTGATCTTTCGAACGGCGATGATGAATTGACGAAAGCGTTCGCTCCTTTGGTCGATTCCTTCGACGCATTTTACGCGAAGGAATCGGGTCAATTCCAGTCCCACGTACTTTGTTAAATCATGTCCCGTTGCGTTTCCCCTAACTAACTAACGCGGTGCCGCGGTGACTCACGGACGGACATGACGGCTCTCGGAAAGTAGGTGTGTAAAGTCCAAACGATGGGATTTGTATTACGAGAGAGAACTAGGGTGACTCTTAGCCCGACACATTAACGATACGTTATCGGATTATAGATTGCTTTGACAGATCGGTGGAATTAATAGCATACTACTTATCGCACCGTGTGCTTCGCGGCACGTATCAAGATTGACCGCGCAGGCTAACGCAGCACTAATATGTCAGCTATATTTCCCAGAGTGGTTAACTGAATCCATAAGGAAGGAGATTTGCATCTCTTAAAAACCATAAACCCGGGAATCCTTGTGATTATACCGACGTTTAATGAAATTCCTCCAGACACACGTCCCGCTTCAGCTTGCCTGTCTGGCGCGACTGTTCTCTCGCGTGAACTGAGTTTCGCCGATTGCTCATTTTGCAATTTGTGGAATAAGCAAATTTTCTTTTCTCTTGAGACTCTTGAGGTCATTACAGAGATTTTTCTTTTTTCTCTCCCGAGTCTTTTTTTTTTTTTCCATTATTTGACCTTTAATCATCTTGAGTATGTGGTTGTTGAATTCGTCATGACAAGGGCTACAAACGTAGGTGTTCAAAAAATTAGAGTTCCATTTAAATGAAAGTTTAACCTTCTTTTTACCTTGGCGCCTCCATCCAAAATTAAATTTTGTTTTAATCAAAATGTGTCCCCTTCGAAACAATACAATATAAGAAAAAAAGCGGACCTCAATATCATTTAGTTTTCGAGATTTTTCACCTGTTACGTTTGAAATTTAGCACCCTCTATATAATATTCCGATGTTGCTCGATGTTTTCTCTTCCCAATATTTATATCGGCGCTTCCCTACATTGGTGTCGTCGGCGACAGTCAGAGAGAAACGACTCTTCGACAACATGAGGAGGCACTTGAAATCCACTTTGTTCATTAAACTGGCTGTAAGGTTTAATTAACCCCACGCCGGCTAAATCTGCCAAGCGATGAAAGAGCGATTTTGCAATTTCCTGAAAAAATTACAGAATTTTCTATCAAGAGTCTATATTTTTCACAAAAATTTACGTTACGATGCGTTTTGCATTCTTAATGGATTCAATCGAATAAAAGGAGAAAACAAGTAAACACTAAACTTGCCGTCGCAGAACGCGTATTTCTCCAAACACCTGTCTGCTTCGATCGCTTCGTTACGAAACAGGTCGCGTTAATCGTCGGTAATCTTAGAGTGTCAGCTCTACGATCTCTGTAGAGACCTTCTTTTTTCTAGAGTTCCTCAAGTAAGAGTTGGGACATGATCGCCATTAGCGGGGAAGAGCAGCGCGCGTGATTTAAACGACTCGAATCTTTTTATTTACAGTTTATTGAAGATTACATTTTTAATTAGCAAAGTAAGAAATCGTTATGCAATATGTAAGTTATATTATCTATTTGCATAATGTATGTTTGTATGAAATAATGTATACTTTGTATAAAATTCTCCTCCTTTGTTTATTTGAAAATATAATATTTAATAGTAAGTTATCTTGCGTATACAACACAAATTTTAAACTTACTTAACTATTTTTTTTAGCTTACGTGAAATATAATAATAAATTATAATATCTCTAAAACAGTTTTCAAAAGTTCTCCTCTTACGAATTACTTTGATGATATATATTTTAACTCTGCAAACACGATGACACCAAGTGACGTTTTAATAACATATTAATGACGTCTTTAATGTCATCATATATTCTAGGAGATCAGATTCACACATGAATGTAATTTTACCTTTTCACTGTTGCTTCCTCCAACGAAGAATGCAAGCGTACCACTGCAGCGTCTGTCCAAACATCTTCTCTCTCATTCTCACTTACAGTCCTCTCCCTATTAATGACGGACGTCTCCTTCGCCAATTAGAAATCAGTAAGGTCGTGTCCCAACTCTTACTTGCGGAACTCTACTTCTTTCAAGCTGCTTCTTGGTTGACAGATAAAGTTACCCGCACGGGAGAACCACGCTCATCTGTCTCCTCACGATCCGACCGTTGCGGCTTCAGACGCGGCAGCGGCTGCTGCCGTCGCGTCGCGTCGCGTCGGAAGCGTTTGTTTTATTCAATAAACACCTGCCGGACTTTCATCCGCGCGACCGCGACGTGGGGGATAATGTTTATCGATATACCGAAGACACCGCTCGTAAGTGCCTCGCGACTATAAGTAAGCTACTCGTGCCACCTGGCACAACCACACTGCCGCAACCACCATGGTCGCGCGTATACCCACACTTGGGCCGACGATTGAGCCGCGGGAGACACACGGCCACCGGGTGGCTTCGGCGAGCCAAAGATGAAGAAGAAGCAGAGGAAGAAGTGGAGGAAGAAGAAGAAGAAGAAGAAGAAGAAGAAGAAGAAGAAGAAGAAGGAAAGAGAGCGGCCAAGCGGCGTGGCTCGATTGCGCGGCTCGGCGCGGCGTGGCGATCCTACCACGCCAGCTCGCGCTACCAGGCGTGCATCAAGGAGCCTCCGGTGGTGGGGTCGTTGTCGCTTAGCCGGCACCAGGAGAAACGGCGGAGTGTTGGTGGGTAGGCCTGGCCGCGAACGAGAGAGCGGAGTCGCGGTCTGTCAGAGTCCACAGTCCTAACTCGGCCTCAGGCTGCGATAGATCGTATCACACCGCGCCGCGGCCTCGAGTACCGCCGCGAAATCAGCCCAGTCTCGCGCGCGCGCGCGCGACCGACAGCACTGGCCCCGCGTGTGTGATCGCGCGGGGGAGGCCCTTTTCCGCGGCTCGACCCTGCTCGATCGAGTTTAAGCCGTCGCGAGTGACCGAACGACCTGCGAGCAGCACAGTAGCGCGACTAATCGCTCGCCGATCCGCGGCCGATCGTCGATCCTCTTCGCACCTCGCCGCTCCTCACGCTTCCTGCGGAAAGATCATTTTTTCTTCCCACCTTTCGTCCCGCTTTTTCTGCTCTTCCGAGCCGCGAGGGCGGCTCACCGCGATCGCATTCCTAGGAGAACGGAATACACTGGGGATACTGTTACGGGAGGTAAGGTTTTGCTTCTTCTTCTTCTTCTTCTTCTTCTTCTTTTCGTTTCACCTTTTTTCGTTTCGACTGCGAGAGAGAGAGAGAGAGAGAGAGAGAGAGAGAGAGAGAGCACGTGTGGGAGGTGTGGGTGGGAGTACCGGCGGCGAGTGTTCAGGTTGCGGCCTCTGCGCCCGCAACGGCAGACGTTTATTTATCTTCTTTTTTACAATTTTTGCGTGAATAGCCAGTATATACCGCGCGGACGGGTGTGTGCGTGCGTGCGTGCGTGCGTGCGTGTATGCGAACCCCTTGTGTGTCAGCGAGTCGATGAATTACTTTCGTGACGCAAGATCGTACGTGACAAAGTCGTGGGAATTCGGGTGCCGCGTCGAACCGCGGCACACATGTCCCGTTATTGCAGTACTTACCGTATGCGCGGGGTGTCTCGTAAAGTTCCTATCGAGCCGCGGAGGACCGTTGTGCGATAAACCGAAGAACGAGGAACTTTCTTCTTCTTCGCGGCGGCGACGCGAGCTACTTGACAATCGGATGTTAAAATGTTCCGTATGACGTTGATCTTGAAAAAATTCTCAGAGATGACAGAGAGAACTTTTGTCTCCCCAGACTATATGTAACGTTATACGTGGACTTTATTTAAACAAATTGTCAGTGGGGACTGATTTAGCCAGTTGAATTAATTTAATATATCTTACGTAGAAAAAGAGAGAGAGAGAGAGAGAGAGAGAGAGAGAAAGATGCTGAAAAAAATATTCTTAACGTATTCTTCTATTCATTCCCGCTTCCTAAACGAAAAGTTCTTCTGTTTCCGACGGAATATGGTAGAATTCCTCTCGCGCCTCGCCCCGCTTTCCGTGAACCAATATTTCCGGTCTCGCTCCGGTAGAAGCGCGTTTTTTTTTCTAAAATTAGAACGAAATACTGAAAGTGAAATAACACAATCTCGCGGCAGTTAGAGCGGCGCCGCGGGTGGCGAGACTGTCTTTGTTTCGGTCTGTGGTGGATCTTCATAAAAATTTCCGACCACACCGTAATTATCTCGTCTTCCGCGAAATTCATCTCGGAATTTGGTAATAAAGTTCTTCCCCTGCGAGCAACCAGCCAGGTTAATTCTCCTCGATGGATACTCGCCGAATCGGCCGGACACGAAGAAAATGTAATTTGCACGATGACGTCTGTTCGACGCATCTGCGTTTTTCCCTCACGATATTTCATTCACGGATATTTGATCCCCCACCGTTCGATCGCCATTGATTCTTTCCAGGTGGATGATATCATTGGGATGACGTTGGCACTTTGCAACACAAGATCTCACTAATGTTCAGTTCAGCAAATTATCTAATTTACATGTATACCTTAATCACATACAGTTAATATCATCTCTGCAACATCTGTATTAATTATATATAGTTATTTAATCACGTGTAATTTTATTTAATATTTATAATCTAAGAAAATGTCTAAAAAGTAACTATTTCGAAATGTTTACAAACATATTCGACGCGCGTTGAATAAAATCGAAAAAATTGCACGGCCCGTTTGTACTCGCCGGTTGTCGGAATATCTAGCGTGCAGCAGATTGAAATTACGATTTACGTGAAGAGACGTGCACATGCACGTCTGATTGGATTGTCACGCTTGTTACGATTCGTCACGTCTTCGTGTTGAGCGCCAGTTGCGCAGATATAGGTTTCTGCAGGTCAGCAGTTAAACAATTTCGGAGGTCGCAATCTCCAGCACGGTACATTTCGCAAATCGCTGGCTCTTTGCATTCTGTTCTGCTCTTGCGTATTATCCGATTGGCTGGCGACGCGTGGCTTAGATGGAAAATGCGATTGGGAACTGGGAGATGGGAATGGGAGAATAAAAGGAAAGGGAAAATAAGAAACACGCGCACGCAGTCCGATGGAATCGTTGCGTTATTTTACCGGGGAAAATTATGCAGAATCTATTCGTTCCAGAGTTGCGCATTCTCCGACATCTATGGGTTTGATATCTCTCTAATAAGAAACGGAGGAAAAAATGTCAAGAGAAAGAGAGAGAGAGAGAGAGAGAGAGAGAGAGAACATTTCACTCGCGATACCAAATACATGCAGCTGGTCCTCCGATAAAATTCCGTTCTCAGATAAAATTCCTAAGCAGACCTCTTTGTCCTATTCGAGAGCCGGGAGGGGACGAAGTCTCGCTTTGGATCGGACTCGAGTTCAAAATCGGCTCGAAGGTAATTAACGGCGAAGGTAAAAAACCGGCCGTAAATCACCGAGGAAATTTCGCGAGGAAGCCGCGCGAAAATTCTCGGACTCTAATCGGCCGGATCTCCACTCGGAGCGCAAGTAGCAGAGTTCCCGTGCAAATCTCTGCCATCTCGGCGACGCACGTACGCGTGCACGCGAGCACGCACGCATGCACCCACCCCCCTCCCCCTCCCCTCCCCCCGTGGCCTGCCCCTCGAGGATCGGCGGCTGAGTGTGCGGCTCGCTCGCCTAGAATTAAGTACACGTGAATACCTGCGTAGTCCCAGGTACCTCCGCGGTCGCCGCGCCGGGCGGCGCGTTACGTAATCAGCCGTTGTTAATCCGAGGTAGCGGCTGATCCCGTGTCCGAGCGGCACAAATCCGACGTGGAAGTCGGATCATCGACGCTGGAGCAAATTAAAAGGCTGAAATTAAATCCCCGGCGACCTTGAGGACGCGCACGAGCCGCGCGGCGTGCGTTGGCCGCGAGCAGCGGCGAAAAGTCAAAGTCGCACGACATGTCGCAAGATGGACTAAGCTGGTCGAAGCAAATTCAGTCGGCTGGATTTCGCTGGGCTGGATTCATCGCTTGATCGATCGCTCCCCCCCGAGAAGTCGATCTCGCGAATACGCCGCGCCGTCGGGATTCTCCAGAGAGACCGGACGATACCTTCGCGTTTTACGCGCTTCCGCGCGGCGCCGTTGTCTTCCTTCGCGCTCGAAATCGACGCGACGCTCGCGCGCGCGCGCGTCTCTCTGTCTGGTAAATCCGCTGGCATTGGAAACGGGAGCAATCAAGACATATTAAATTTTCCCCTCGAGTTAGTCGCGAGCGGACCGGCGCGGCGCGGCGGTGCACGTGTATGCAAATGACAAGTAGAAAACACGTCGTCCGCATCCGCAAGCGCGATTACGACCTTACGGTGTTATCCCCGGGTATTCGTCGCTATTTATCAACGACTGAAACGTCCGGCGGTCTAATGAGCGGCAGGCTGGATCCTCGCGAATTAATCCGCGCGTCTTCCGCTCGACTTTCGGGATGACCGATGGCCGCGTCGCGTCCAGATGCACTATTTCGGGCAGAACAGCGGCGGAGCGATGCCGTTTCTCAACCTCAAAGCGACGATTCAGCTGCTTCAGAAAAGTAGACAATCTCGCCGATTGTTTACAGTAGACATCCGTAAAAAGAGATAGATACTCATTGGTCGGGACCTGCTAATCCACTCACTTGAAATGATTCAAGGCTCCAGAGTTAAAAGTCACGCATCCGCATGCGCGAATCTCCAATTTTCGTACACAAACTCTCTTTACAGCATTACATTTCTAATAAACTTTGACTTTTTGCCGAATCATTATTTCTAAAGATCACACGCGATTAATTTTATTTATATTATTTTCGTTATGTATATTATTTTATCTTCGCTACCCGACTTAATTTTAGAATCCCGTAGCAATCCGATAGAGATAATTATGCAGTTTTCTCGATAAACGATATTACATTTTTTTTTCCGGCTCGTCTCGTCGCGTCGCGTCGCGTCGCGTATTCGACTCCCGGTGATAACGAGTCGATCTCAGTTCAAGGTTCCGTCCCGGTCGCAGCGTTCGCGATATGTTCCGCGGACGCGGTGTGTCTACGAAAGCATCGTCAGATTTTCGAACCGCCGCCGCGCTATATCCGCATGATCCCGATCGGGGCGGGGGAGGGGGGGAGAGAGGGGGTGAGGGAGAGAACGTTCCCCGTCGGCCGGCCGCGGATTATTTGTCTCACGTATCTATACCCGCCGGCGAACAGGCCGTGCAGTTGCCGATGCAACGGTTGGCGCGTCTATATCGTCACGATAACGAGTTTCCAGGTGTTTACGACCACACGACGTCATCGAACCCACCTTTACCTTTTGCAGCCGTCGCGTTCGCGCGCACGCGCGCACACGTGCACGTGGACGCGGCTGTGCGCATGTGCGCGTTACGGTATCCACGTTGTATCTTCACTTCGACTTTGCGCCTTCGCGGCGACATCGCGAACGTAAAAACCGGCGAGCCGCTTCTTACGGTTCAACGCATTAGTTATCCCTACCAACGACCGCAAATAACAATACTCCCTGCGCGCGGTGTGCGCTGCGTAAATTATCTCTCTCTCTCTCTCTCTCTCTCTCTCTTCGTGTGCATCGTTCGCGCGAAGAGGCAAGGATCCGAGGAAGACGAAAAAAATCACGTGCAGTGCCGCATGAATAATGACGCAGCGGCTTGTAGCGGCTTGATCCGCGCTTTCGGAGTGGAGTTTTCTTCCTTGTTTTATTCCAACTGGTCGCGCGACTGCTTTTCCTCTCGATGTCGCTGAGACAGATCTACGCGGACGTGACTTTTTAGGCCAGGATTAATTTCGGGAATGTCCTCTGTGCGACGCACCTGGGCTTCGATGTGAACAGGTACTAACGTCATTCAGTATGTACACGGCATATATATATATATATATATACATTGTTGGCTTTGAACCTATCGACATTGTTTCTTATCACTGGGAAAAAAACTATTTTCACAATCTCACGTTCTGACGTAAAGATGTTTTATCGCTTTTTATCGAGACAATTATGGAATAATGAGGCATCAATATTCTCTAAACTCATACGTCATATTGCGTGACCGATTTCCAATGTCATTGAGCTGAGGAATGAGGCTGCACTTATGACATTTGGTGTACATGACACGATTTGACGCATACGCTTGGAGAATCGTGATAGCTTTGCGATAAACTAATTGCAACATGGTTGC